AATGGAGGAGACAGGTTTTGAGTACCTCTATCTCTCTCCTAGGTCCCACCAGCACCCACAGGGTGCAGAAGTGGCACAGAGCTCGCTCAGCCACAGGACCTAGGCTGGGCTGAGCCAAGAAGCTCCACATCAACTAGTTACATCGTGCGACGATGGTTTTATGGCCTTGGCTGTGGTTCACATTGAGTCAAGGTGAAGTGTCCTATCATTTTCTTTCCAGGAGGAGAGGGCCGTTCATTCTGCCTGTCTTCATTAACTTCCAGATCTTTACTATGCCAATAATCTGCACTGCTTAAAATCCCCGTATCTTGCTGGATTAAAGAACACTGTTTTCCTAGACTATGGATGTGGGAGATAAAAGCCTCCCCCAACTTGGCAGTCCAAGTTCCCCAATAGTGCCAGTTGTGAAATGTAGCACAAGAAGCAGCTACAAATGTACAAATGCAGAAGAAAACTCAGCGCCTCATGTCTCCCTGTCTGAAAATGAGGACAATCACCCCTCTTTTGAGAGCACGTTAACATCCACAGGTAAAAAGTGCTACTGGGATCACTGATCTGCTTCTCCAAGCATTTCTACTTTCAACTCAACACCCTCACTAAATCTTTCATTTAAGGTTTATACACTTTCCTCATTTGTACCCTTCTCTCTCTTCCTTGGAAACGAACTTAAAGTACCTGAAAGATATTTAACTGAACAAGTAGTTCACCTCCCAAACAGTTGCAATACACGATATACACGTTAGCACCTCTGGTCCCTATCAAACCTACTGCTCCTTTCAAGGAAGCCATCCACTGAAGGGTTAAACATGCAAACTAGAGATCCTGTCTAATTCCCTTTAATCCCTAGTAACACAGCAGAGAAGATGAGGTATTGTCCCTGGGTTCCTATTATTACTGCCAGCCCAGAAACAGGGTACAACATAACAACCACCCAACATATCCCACAGCATACGACCATTGTTTTGGGAGGCAGGATTGAATAACGTCACATGGTTTCCAAGCGATGCCAATATGCATTAGTCATTCTCTATTAAATATAAAATCATGATGGTGAAACCCTCAGCCACGCCTGAAGAGGTTAAAAGAGAATTTATGTTGGAGAGCCAACAGAAAGGGGCTAAGCGATCGCTGAGGTTTTTCTTTCAGCAGAAATATATAAAAAGCTATAAAATGGCAAAGAGAAGGGCTCCTTCAGGACACCTACATTCTTTTTTTCTTATCTGAGAAGACTAGTTCAACACCTAATGATCAATACAAGAGAGGAAAAACTAAGACTGATCACAGGACACGGTCACACAATGTCAAATCATCTGGTTTGTCACTGTAGATTACACAGAAACAGGCTAAAAGTCCAAAATAAAATTAACATAAAATAAAGCTTTCAAATTCAATAATAACTATCCAGAATTACATCACTTAGCTGTGGAATAGAATGGAACAAGTACTCAGGATTTCTTTGCAAATCTCAAAGTATTTGGTACTTTGAGCATAAAGCTTTACCTCACAACTTGCACTTTTCTGAACCTCTCACACACTTTTTCCTTTCCTTATAGAAACAACAAGCACAGAAACGTACACAAACATAAAACCCACTGCTAAAATAAATAAATAAATAAATAATAATCCACAAACAGTAAACAAACTATTCTTTGTTTTCTAAACTCTTTGGTGTTGCTTTACTGAAAATATAATATCATCCTTCAGTTTCAAGGCATATCAGCTGCTTTGGGTTCAGAAGAGGATTCACCACAGCCCTGCCATTGCTCGGCTCTTCCCTTCGCCCCCTCTCTTCAGAAAAGGGCTATACACCCACACAATCAGTGTGTCTATAGTCTGATCCTACAGGGCAAGGCCCAGGGATGGATAAGAACGAGAAAGCCTGGAAGAAGACTTTTTCAGCTGGAGCACCGGGTGGATCTTTGCAATATAGTTGATAAGATAAAAAATATTTAAAAAAAAAAAAAAAGTAGAGTTCTGCAACAGAATAAGGATTGATTCACTTCTAGAGTGAGTGGTTTCACACAAGCCTGCTCTTCTTTTGTACTGCCTGCTGGCTAGACAAAGCCTAGCCACTGGTTCGAAGCTGTAAATATCTCTATTTCACACCACGTATCTGCCACCCAAATCCATTCCGAAAGCCTACATTAGACAAAAGATCTATTAACTTCCTTGCTACTCCTGCTCTCTTCATCAATCTCAGCCAACGAGTTGAAGGCTGGGTGGCTCCGAGCGCTCAGTGGTTCTCTGGCATGCCTCGGCGCAATTAGGATGATGTCTGGCATCGGGGCAGAAGGCGTAGCAGGCAGGGAAGAAGAATGGAGAAGTTGTTAAGCATATCCCATTGCTATTTTTTCCTTTTTTAACCAGACTCGGAAAAAAACCAACCCAACATACTCTTCATAAGAGAAGAAAGACAGAAAAAAATACACAATACCCAAGTTTTTTTTTTCCCACAAAGAACTCAGAAAACAAACAAACAAGACTTACATCCACACAGCTTATTTACTCAGAAAACTGTCAGCTGTGGTGGTACCAGACCTATTAGGTTTTGTCTGCACGCCTCCATCAATGCTTTACAACTCACTTCTCGTGGGGGAATCTAAAAATCAGTCAGTCTTCATCTCGCCATTATATACGCCAAAAAAAAATTGAAGACATTATGTGCAAAAGAACACCTAAGTTTTGTGGCTTTATGTATTCTACAGGTTCACGCACATTCGTTGTCCCTTGTCACTGTTCTGGTTAGACCAACCCTCAAACCATCACCTTAAAACCCAAGACTGGAATAAAACATTAATCCTTTGGAATTACACATTTAATGCACAAAGACTTCAGTATCAGTGTGTTTTAAGGTGGGTTTCCAAAGATAAGAGATAACTTTCATGTACTCAGGTGTTGGTTATTTTGTTTTTATTCAAGAAGATTAGCAGGAAACTCCTAAGACCGGAATGTGTGCACTCGATACCTTGAACCGCTACTCTGGTGAACAAAAAAAGTTAACATCCAAAAGCAACATGGAAAAAAGCTGCATTGCTTATTCAGCACCCACTGACAGTCAGCTTGCACAAAGAATTTTACTGTAGCAGTTCTTGTTCAAGTGTGGGACAGCAAAAGCCGTTCCAGAGAAATTAAATCAGTCAAGAGACAGACTACATATGGTTACGTTTTTTAAAGTTGATAGCTGATTATAATTTATAATATATTTCTGAAGAAGCGCAGTGAGCCAACTAACGTTTGGGAGAAGCAGCATTTTAGAAGCTACAAAGATGCAATCAGCAATACGAAATCCCAGCTCCCAATTGTTGCTTTCAATGTTCTTTACAGAGTAAAACATTTGCTTCTAATTTCAGGAGTGGTTTGTATTCAACAATGTAAAATTTGTTTAAAAGTTTCAACGGTTGTTCTCTTCCCTGCTCACCAAATATTCATATTAAATACTTATACAACATGCGAGACTATTGCAACCATAGGGGTCTTCTACGAGTCCTTCTCCAGGGAAGAAACTCTTTGGTCATGCAAGCAGACTCAAAGTTGAAGGATTGTGATGCAAATACCCACTGACAAAGGCTCAACCCTCAAAACAACTGTCCGTCAAGACAAAATATAACATAGTAATAATAAAAGAAGAAAAGTGATCGAGGTTTAATTTTTTTACAAAGTACTAGCAGGGGTACAAAGACCTATACAACAGGAATCTTCTCATACAAATAGCACAAATTATTTAAGCCAGCAGCACTACCAGAACAGGTCATCTTCCAATACATTACTGCTCTTCAAAACATGACAATCAACAGCACATCGCCCACACGATAAGATGAGCTCTCTCATACCCACTAAGAAGACTTGGAGTTTGAACAGTGCTCAAACTCCCTGCCCAAGCGTGACTTTGTAGAGCATCAGTCACTGCCAGTATAGGAGAGTGAGGTTACGTACCTATACAGATCATACTTAAGCTACGGTGAAACAACAACAAAGTGGGTATGAAGAGAAGAAGCTACAGCTGCCGCTTAAGAATTAGAAATACCACATCTGCCAAAATCAGAAAGGAAAAAAAAAATGCACCTCAAACCACCACAGTATCCTTGGTGGCTCAAAACCAAGACATCATTTCCCAGAGGAAGCATAGCGGGGGGGGTAACGCCAGGGATGCACAGGAGAAGGCAGTATTGGGGTAATGCCAGAGATGTGTAGGACAAGGCAATATTAAGGTAACACATCCAGCGGGTGAGGGAAATGGTTGAACCGTGACACGCTACCAGCATCCTCTGCTGGTTGACCCACTCAGCAGTGCCAGCCCCAAACTTCCAGGAACTGCAAGTAAAACGGCTCATAGGGAAGCGGCGAAGGCAGCTCCAGAAGATGCTGCAACTTAAAACAAACGGGAGGCTCCCTTTCACATCAGGCTTCTCAGTATTCCCACAGAAGACAGTGGGAACCGTGTAAGCGATCAGTTCTGTGCCTTAATTACCAGAAGAGCAAATAAAACATTTTGCACTTCACAGCTGATGTGTCAAACCTGTTTTCCACCCTGTTTTCCACCTCTAGTCACACACAGAACATTTGAAGGCCCTTCAGTCAAGGAAAATGGCTTTGTGATAAGGAAAGTTGTCAGCTAAAATGTTACACTTTCACCGCCTGTCACATCCAAGAACAGAAACAAGACCATTCTCACGCTCAGCAGCGATGACGAGGAAGTAGCCCAAATGAGGCGATCTATCTGAGAGACTTAACCAGGCAGGGATGCCAAGCACATCCGAGACCGAAGACACCGGATGAGCTGTTCAGAGAGCAATCCCCCCACCGGCCAGTTCTCAGACCAACACTGACACGAGGGCTGTAGTGAAAGAAGTTTAGTTATAATTCACACAGGAATAGAAAGACTTAAAGTAATTAGCAATTGCTAAAACGAGAAGGTACACAAAACTCCAAAACGCCCATGGTTAAAGCTTTTAGCACCTTAGAAAGCAAACGGGTAAATAATTACTGAATAAAAGCTTTACCTCTGCTCGTTGCGTGCGGGGCAAAACAGATGACTTCTCAATAGCGTAAACATCCACCAAGTAGAGCCGCGCTCCTTGCTCCCTGTCCAAAATGGCAGCAGTCTGGATGACACCAGTATGGCGCCCGATGGTGAAGAGGCGCCCGAGACTCTTATCTTCGCATCGGACAGAAACGATGTAATATTCCACCTGAGCTTCGGAGCCCCGTGGACTCGCCGCTTCGATAGATATGACGTTTGTCCCGATAGGCTCACCTTCTTTTAAGATGGTTATGTATTTCGGCTGAGTGAAGACAGGCCCGTCACCCCCTTGAAGAATTATAGTCATCTCGGTGGTGGATTTTCTCCTTTCAGGGCCAAGATCCGTGGCAGTAACTATGAGATTGTATATTAGCTGAGAAGGCACCAAAGCTGACGCTACTCTTAAATCTCCGCTGTAGCGATCCACAATGAAGGTTTCGGTATCTCCATTGATTATTTCATATTCTACTTCTCCGTTGGCGCCCTCATCAGGATCTGCAGCAATAATCGTCGTTAGGATCGAACCGATCACAACCGAGGGGTCGGCGGCAAGAGCATTTTGCGATATGAACATGGGAACATTGTCATTTTGATCCGTCACCAAAATGGTCACATTCTTCAAAGCAAATCGTCTGGACTCCAGAGGAACAGCCTGGTCCGTGGCTTTGACTGTTAACTCAAAGAGATTAGCAAACTCGCGATCTATTTCAGCATTGGTAAATATTGTCCCTCTCACTTCATCTATACGGAAATGATTACCCCTTGGCATCTGCTGAATGATTGCATACGTTAGCTGCCCATTAATATCCGCATCTGGATCGTGAGCAGTCACAGAAATGACAGAGCTACCAACAGGAACGTTCTCAACAATAGATTTAAAGATGTCCCCTGGAGGAAAATTAGGAGGGTTGTCATTAAAATCCCTAACGTGTATCACCACTGACATTGTAGATGACCGTGGTGGCCTTCCTTGGTCTTTTGCTGTTATATTTAGCTTATACAGAGACTGTGTCTCAAAGTCCAGTTTCTTTGCAAGAAAAATACTACCAGTGTTGGGACTGATGCTAAAGGTCCCGTGATTGTTTGTCCCCGTAATGCTATAGTGCAGGTCAGCATTGTCACCTGAATCGGAATCGGTGGCAGTGACAGATGACACAAGTTCACCGACTCTCATATTTTCCAAGACATCCACTAACAAGGTTGATTTAGGGAAGGAAGGACTGTTGTCATTTTCATCCAATACATCAATGCTCAACATGCAAGTTGAACTTAGGGAAACTGCTCCGGAGTCTACCGCTTGGATGACAAGCGCATACGACGCAGTAGCTTCGTGATCTAGTCTGCCTACTAAGGTCACTTGGCCTGTGCTACCATCTATGGCAAACCGCTTTTCTTCATTTCCCTTGATTACAGAGTAGTGAATCAATCCGTTAAGCCCCTCATCAACATCTGAGGCGGAAACTCTCAGAACCTGCGTCAGATTTGCTGCCAATTCTGATATAGTAGCTTGGTAGAGATCTTTCAAAAATTTGGGGGCGTTATCATTGATGTCTTTCATGTAGATTTGCACAGTTGCCTGATCCTTTAGAGGTTTTGGCAACCCCTGATCTGTTGCTATTACTGCAAGACTAAATACTGCAGCTCCCCTTTGTCTCATAAGAGCTTCTCTGTCAAACTGATGAGTACTTCTTATTTCCCCAGTCACCGTGTTCAGCTCAAAATCCGGCTGCATATGCTCAAATGAGTACCTGACTTCACCATTTGGCCCAAAATCTTTATCTACAGCATTTATTTTACCTACATACGATCCACCTCTCTGCTCCTCTTCGAAATAAAACACATAGTTGGTACTGTTGAACAGGGGCCTGTTATCATTTACATCCTCCAGAATTACAGTAACGTTCACAGTAGCATTGAGTGGTTCTACTGCTCTATCAGAAGCAACAACCAGTAAAACATATCTTTCCTGAAGTTCCCGGTCCAGTTCACTCTTTATATACAGCTGACCGTCTGGGAAGATGCCAAAGGCATCCCCAGTATTTCCTTCTATTATACTATAAGCTATTTCACCGTTCACTCCCGAGTCTTTGTCGGAAGCCCGCACCTTAAAGAACCTGGAATTCACAGGCTCCGACTCCAAAATAGTAATTTCATAGGAAAGCTGGTCAAACACTGGCGGGTTATCATTTACATCATGGACCGAGACAGTCAGGATAAAGTTAGAGGAGAGCTGCGGCACCCCCATATCCGAGGCCAGGATTTCAACCTGGTAAGACCCAGCATTTATGTCAAGTGGCCCTATTAAGCTTATGGCACCTGTTTGTTCATTGATGGAAAACAAGCCCTTCGGGTTTTGCTTAAGGCTGTAAAGGACCACGCCATTAACACCTTCATCAGGATCAAGAGCTTTGGCCTGGAATATAGTGTGCCCAGCTTTCCAGTTTTCAACCACATTTACGCTTTCCACCGCGTGAACGAAGTGTGGGGAATTGTCATTTAAATCTTTGACAGTTATATTGACCACGGCATCTCCAGTTATCGCCCCACCACTAGCCACCACCTTCAGCTGGTAAAACGCTTGCTCCTCCCTGTCAATAATACTGGCTGTGGTGATCTGCCCCGTCACTCTGTTGATGGCAAACATGCCCCTTTGGTCACCTGTCGTAATAAGGTAACTGATGTTGGTGTTGAGGTCCATGGTGGAAGCAAAAACAGTACCTACGTGGTAACCTAGGGCAACATTTTCAAAGACAACAAAACTGTACATGCCCTGGCTGAAAACAGGTGGATTGTCCTGGGTGTCCAAGACAGTGATGGTGACAATGGCTTGGTTCTGTGACTGAAGATGGCCACCATCGGTGGCCACGATCTGCAACTGGTAAGCAGTTTTCTCCTCCCTGTCAAGGGCTATTTTTGTTGTGATGACCCCTGTCTGGCCATGGACCTGAAACCTGGAGGTGTCTCCAGCCGAGATGCTGTACTTGACCGTCCCATTGGGTCCCAGATCAGGGTCCGTGGCAGACACTGTGGTCACATAGGTTCCAGCTGGCTCATTCTCTTGGATATGGGCAAAATACTGAACGGGGTAAAACACGGGGCTATTGTCATTTACATCCAGGAGACTCACGTTAACTCGGGCCATCGAAGAAAGGGGAGGAGAGCCTAAATCAGTGGCCAGGACCTGCAGGGAGAAGTGAGCCTGCTCCTCCCGGTCCAGCTGCGAGATGGTGCTGAGCTTGCCCGACACGGGATCCAAGCGAAAGATCCGGCGAGGGGTGACCGAGGAGGGGCCAACCGCTGCCAGCGTCGGCTCAGCTTCCTGCAGGGAGAAGCGGACAGTCCCATTGTCCCCCAGGTCCCCATCTGTGGCGCTCAGGACCAGCAGCTCAGTTCCTGACGGGGAGTTTTCAGCCAGGGACACCTGGTAGCCCTCAGGTTGACTGAAGCGAGGTTTGTTGTCATTGACATCCAGGATGGTCACCACCAGCTGTGCATAGGAGAACTTGGGCTGCACCCCCTGGTCGCGGGCACTGATGTTGAGCACCACCTGAGAAGCAGTCTCCCGGTCCAGCCCACTGGAGACGGACGTGCCTGCAGCATGCCCAGTGGTGTTCCCCTCGGGGCCGGCCGTGGTGACCAGCCCGCTGTGCTCGCTGATGCGAAACCAGCCAAGCTCGTTACCCGAGACGATGCTATATTTGAGGTTGGCGTTGAGGCCCGAGTCACGGTCCGTGGCACTCAGGCCCCGCACGTAACTGCCCAGGGGCACCTCCTCACTGATGTTCACCCTGTAGACCGACTGCCCGAAGACAGGGGGGTGGTCGTTAATGTCATTCACAAAGATCACCAGGCTAGCTACTGACGAACGGCTCACGGGAGCTGCCACCACCCCATCGGGGGAAAGGGAAGAAGTTGGGGAGCCTGAGGGTGGCGGCAGGGCCCCGTAGTTATCAGCTACCGCCACCGTAAGGTTATAGGCCGGGATGCGCTCCCGGTCCAACGCAGCTGCTACCTTTATAAGGCTGAGATTGGGTACCTTGCTGCTGTGCACCTCAAAGTGCCGCTGCTCGTTTCCCGCCAGGATCGACACAGAGATGTTCCCGTTGGCCGCAGGGGAGTCAGCATCGCTCACCGTCAGCAGGGCCACCACCGTGCCGGGGGCTGCGTTCTCATCCACAGAGGCAAAGCGGGAGGTGGCTGGGAAATAGCGAAACTTCACCCGGGGCTCGTTGTCGTTGACATCGAGCAGGCGGATGAGGGCCTCAGCCCGGCCACTCAGTGCCGGCACCCCTCGGTCCATGGCCTGCACCGTCAGCGAGTACTGCTGTCGCATCTCGTAGTCCAAGCGCTCCCGGATGCGGATCACCCCGCTCTCAGGGTCCACCTCAAACGGAAGGCTGCCAGCCCCCTCCCCACCACCGCCGCCATCACCTCCTTCCAGGCGGTAGCGGATGTCAGCATTGGTGCCTTCATCAGCATCAGCTGCAGCCACCTGGAGAACGCTGGCCCCAACCGGCGCATCCTCAGGCACTCGCGCCTGGTAAAGAGTCTGGCTGAAGATGGGTGGGTTGTCATTGATGTCCTGGACGGTGACGTTGACTTGAAGGTACCCCCGCCGCCGGGGCTCGCCCTTGTCCTCCACTTGCACCAACAGCTGGTAGGTGGGGGTGGCCTCCCGGTCCAGCCCACCCCGGGAAACCAGGTGCAAGAAAGCTCCTTCACCGCTGGGGTTGAGGGTGATGTTGAGCCGGAACCGGCCCTCCTCATTGCCGGCCACGATGCGATAGGAGCCATGGTCTACGCCATTCGTGCCGCTGTCGGCATCGGTGGCCGTGTCCAGGATAAGCTGGCGCCCGCTGCCCGTGTCCTCCTTGAAAGTCACCACGATGGAGGGGTCGGGGAAGACGGGCGCGTTGTCGTTGAGGTCCAACACCAGGACCCGCACCTCGCTGGGGTAGGTGGGCTGGCTGGAGAGCACCACCAGGTCCACCACGTCGCTGGCCAGGCTTTCGCGGTCGATGGTGGCGCGGGTGTGCAGGGCGCCCGAGGTGGCGTTGATGGAGAAGAGAGCATGGTGCTCGCTCAGGCGGTAGGTGAAGCCGGGCCGGGTGGCGATGGTGCCCACCCCGGTACCGGCCGGCTGCTCCTCCAGCACCTTGAAGACCT